CTGCCCCTTGGTTAAACACCTATCTGTGATTTTTCAGGCCTGACCATAAGCAATTACAAATACTTTACCTGTCAGGCCTCACAGGGAAAGCTGCCCTCTCCACACTATTGGTGGTGTACAGTCAGTGAATTCTGGTTTCTAAAGGAAGTTGTAGTCAAGAACTCAGGCTCCCCTGGCCAGCCACGCTCTTCATGCATTTCCATTCCTAGCCTGGTGCCTTTGTCTCTGGGTCACCATCTGAGACCTAAAGGAGAGGTCCTCCTTGGCCTCCTCCACTGAGGTCTCCTTACTGGGGGAGGAGGAAGAATTTGAAGATACTTTTTCCCCAATCTGAGCACCTAGGACTTTTGTACCCCAAACTCTCCCCACTCCAGGTTACATAAAACTGCTGAAGCCTTTTGCCCAAGAGCCCCCCCATGTCTGTGCTGATCCCCCGACCCTCATCCACTGCATCGATTCATGGGCGAAATGAAGCAGGAGTCAGCGCTTTCTCCAGCTTTAAACTCATTTTTTACACTCGCAGTAAGTGATTAAAGTCTTCACTCGTTCATTTTTGGCTTACTGCTTTAATCAGCTACTCTGACAGCTCACTCTCCCAGCTCAGCTGAGCTCCTGACAGTGATCCTATTACTCACTGAACTGACCAGAAGCTTCATGACTTATAGCATGATAGAAGGGACTTTTGAAGGCTCAACCAAGGTGCCAGCTTGGAGATGTTATTGTGCACAGGGGCACGACCTCTAAACTTGGTCTATTCGTTAACTCAGTAACTGTTTTAAGATGCACAGTCCAGCCAGGCATGGTGGCTCACACCTGTAATCCCAGCACTTTGGGAGGCTGAAGCAGGCAGATCACCTGAGGTTAGGACTTTGAGACCATCCAGGCCAACATGGTGAAACCCTATCTTCACTAAAACACACACAAAGCTGGGCGCGGTAGTTCATGCCTGTAAACCCAGCACTTTGGGAAGCCAAGGCAAGCGGATCACCTGAGGTCGGGAATTTGAGACCAGCCTGACCAACATGGAGAAACCCCATCAATACTAAAAATACAAAAATAGCCGGGCATGGTGGCATGTGCCTGTAATCCCAACTACTTGGGAGGCTGAGGCAGGAGAATCACTTGAACCCAGGAGGCAGAGGTTGCAGTGAGCCAAGATCACACCATTGCACTCCAGCCTGGGCAATAAGAGTGAAACTCTGTCTCAAAAAAAAAAAAAAAACAAAAAAAACCCATATATATATATAGTATGAAGATGTGATTCCCCTTTGACTCATTAATTTCTCATCAAAATTATCTAAAGATTTAAATTTGTAAAAATATACTACATGGATGGTCTCCATAGTAATAGACATAGCCATTAAAATAACGCAGAAATATATTATCAACTGAAAATATATTCATGATATATTGTTATCCTTCCTTCCTTCCTTCTTTCATTCTTTCTTCCCCACCTCCCTTACTTTCTTTCTTTCTGACAAGATCTCTGTCACCCTGGCTAGAGTGCAGTGGCGCAATCTCAGTTCACTGCAGCTTCTGCCTCTCAGGTTCAAGGGATTCCTTCCTGCCTCAGCTTCCTGAGTAGCTGGGATTACAAGTGTGTACCACTACACCCGGCTAATTTTCTCATTTTTAGTAGAGACGGGGTTTCACCCTGTTGGCCATGCTGGTCTCAAACTTCTGACGTCAAATGATCTGCTCACCTTGACTTCCCAAAGTGCTGGAATTACAAGCATGAGCCACTGCACCTAGCCTGAATTTCTTTTAAAAGCAGCTTATACAATAGTGTATTTCATATGGAAGGATGAAACTCATCAAAATGTTAAATAATATTTTTGTGTGGTACGATTTGGGGTGGTTTTATTCTTTTTGCTTTTCTATATTTCTGCTTTCCTTCAATGAATGTATATTATTTGCAATTTAAAAAATTGTAATTTGCTATACAATAAGAAATCAGTGATTTTTTGCCTCTCAATAATCTCTTTTTTACAGTAAATATCCTAATTATGATTCTTTATCTTTTATTTCTACTGCAACCTTGTACTTTGATGTCGCTTTATGCTTTATGTATTGTGGTATGGTAGCACATCACTCTGCAAATTGTAGTTGTGTTCATATCCTGCCTCCACCATTAGGTTGTAAGTTTCCAGAAGCCCTATCCACAAACATGGCTGCCCACTGCAGGATATTCCAAAGAACGATGGACGGAAGGACTGAAGAACAGAATGCACACACTGAGACATATCATATCATAGAAGAGGTCAGCCCTTCATTCTTACTAATTAGGAGCATAACAAAACCCCCACATACCATGCCCTTGGGCATTTTAGTTGAAGTCATGCTAGGAATCAAACTAGCCATCCTTGATAGCTGCCACACACTATGCAACTAAATGCTTTCAACAAAGCTGCCAGCATTCATATAATCCTCTCTACAACTGCTGAGAGTGCCATGGGCTCTTTTTGGTTATTTTGTTTCATGTTTTAATTACTTCAGAATAACTTGCATTCAGATCAGAGAAAATGTTTCATTTGGTTCCACCTGAATTGCCTTTAAGTGACTCTTTTTCTGAGCTGTCAACCCAGTGGTCTGCTATTTTTTTTTTCATGGACCATACAAGAGACTTAATGGTCTGCTACTTTTAGGATGTCTCCTGGGGCTAGTGAAAATGACGGTCAACCTGTGCAGCCTGCTACAACTGCACACGAGGAGTATAGGTCGGTCTCTCTCTCTCTCTCTCTCTTTTTTTTTTTTTTTTTTTTTTTTGAGACGGAGTTTCGCTCTTGTTACCCAGGCTGGAGTGCATGGCGCGATCTCGGCTCACCGCAACCTCCGCCTCCTGGGTTCAAGCAATTCTCCTGCCTCAGCCTCCTGAGTAGCTGGGACTACAGGCACGCGCCACCATACCCAGCTAATTTTTTGTATTTTTAGTAGAGACGGGGTTTCACCATGTTGACCGGGATGGTCTCGATCTCTTGACCTTGTGATCCACCCGCCTCAGCCTCCCAAAGTGCTGGGATTACAGGCTTGAGCCACCGCGCCCGGCCTCCTCTCTCTCTTTTTTGTGAGATGGAGTCTTGCTCTTTCATCAGGCTGGAGTGCAGTGGCGTGATCTCGGCTCACTGCAACTTCGGCCTCCTGAGTTCAAATGATTTTCCTGCCTCAGCCTCCCGAGAAGCTGGGACTATAGTCATGTGCCATCATGCCCAGCTAATTTTTGTATTTTTAGTAGAGATGGGGTTTTCACCATGTTGCCCAGGATGCTCTCGATCTCTTGACCTCATGATTCACCAGCCTGGGCCTCCTAAAGTGCTGGGATTACAGGTGTGAGCCACCGCACCCGGCCCAGGTCTCTTTTATGTCTTGAAGAATGGGATGTGAAATTTTCTTTTTCAATCTCAAGCCATGGAGATTGGTTTTATATCTCTGTGAAATACTGGGTGATTTTTGGGCTCTATATTATAATAACAGAGGTGATTCTCTTATTGAGGCTTGAAATCAAGAAGGAATGAATTGTACAAAACTCTTTTTTTTTTTTTTAAGACAGAGTCATAGGCCGGGCGCGGTGGCTCAAGCCTGTAATCCCAGCACTTTGGGAGGCCGAGGTGGGTGGATCACGAGGTCGAGAGATCGAGACCATCCTGGTCAACAAGGTGAAACCCCGTCTCTACTAAAAATACAAAAAATTAGCTGGGCATGGTGGCGCGTGCCTGTAATCCCAGGTACTCAGGAAGCTGAGGCAGGAGAATTGCCTGAACCCAGGAGGCGGAGGTTGCAGTGAGCCGAGATCGTGCCATTGCACTCCAGCTTGGGTAACAAGAGCAAAACTCCGTCTCAAAAAAAAAAAAAAAAAAAAAAAAAAAAGACAGTCTCAGTCTGTTGCCCAGCACCAGGCTGGAATGCAGTGGCGCGATCTTGGCTCACTGCAATCTCCACCTCCCAGGTTCAAGCAATTCTCCTGCCTTCTGGGTACCTGGGACTACAGGTGCATGCCACCATGCCCAGCTAAATTTTTTTTGTATTTTTTTTTTTTTATTCTTACACACTTTATTTTACCATAAGAAGCAAACTTCTGAAGAAGATACAATTAAAGATACCACAGGTGTGCTAGCTTGTCAATATTGTTTTATCATTTTCATTAACAAAGCAGATTACGGTGTAGCCCTAATTTGCATTATAATTAGTTGTTACAAGACACTGCACATTCTCCTGAAGAAACACCATGATTTCCAAGATGCCAGGTCACTCTTCCAACCAGTGAATGTTGAGCTCACCAGCAGGTGTAGGGCTACTTATATTCCAATGACGTGCTTGAAATAGTGCTTTGCAAGATCAGCGTGGATTATGTGGACAAAATTTTGAGACAATCTCCATTATACATTTGGTAGAAGTAAAACTGCCTGACTTAATCTCACTAGTAGTGTATTAGTGTTGCTATATTATGAAGACATACTATATTCCATTATTCTGCTTAGCTTATGGAAGAATAAAGATTTGGGCCAAAATTATAACCAGATGATAAGCAATTTTCTAAGCAAAAGAAAGTAAGTGCTGAGGTTAATAAAGATATAGTAATTGTCTTCACATGGCCTTGTACTGTTTTGTGAACTGCATAATTAAAAATCCTGAGCTTAACAAAAATCTTTATAAATCAACTCATCATCGCCGGGCGCGGTGGCTCAAGCCTGTAATCCCAGCACTTTGGGAGGCCGAGGCGGGTGGATCACGAGGTCGAGCGATCGAGACCATCCTGGTCAACATGGTGAAACCCCGTCTCTACTAAAAACACAAAAAAGTAGCTGGGCATGGTGGCGCTTGCCTGTAATCCCAGCTAGTCAGGAGGCTGAGGCAGGAGAATTGCCTGAACCCAGGAGGCGGAGGTTGCGGTGAGCCGAGATCGTGCCATTGCACTCCAGCCTGGGTAACAAGAGCGAAACTCCGTCTCAAAAAAAAAAAAAAAAAAAAAAAAAAAAAAATAAATCAACTCATCAAAACAGGCATTTGGCCAATAAGGATTTAATTTCACACCAATAAAACTTTAGACTTTAGATTTATTTAGGGCTGTTTGCATATGTTCATAGAATATTTAGTTTACTCTAAAAGATGACAAGACAGCCCCCTCTCAGTGAGACCCTGGCTTAAATATATTTGCTTTATTTATATAGCAAGAGGATAACATTAAACATGGAAGCTTTCAATTTGTGGCACTGAATGATGATCTACACAGGGCATCCTTCAAAGGCTACAATTAAGGATCCACCTAACTTTTCTGCAATACAAGCCCGATTGAGATCTTCTGGTCCATTTGCTTGACATTCATGTTTTATGCCTTGAAATTTCTTTTTGATTGCATCCTTGGAGCTTGCATAGATCATTTTGCTTTTCAGAGGTGCTAGTTCTGGTGCCCACAAAAAAAACATCAACTCTTCTTTTCTGGATTCTTTTGTTTCAAAGCTTGCATCATATAAAGCATAGCGACAATCTTTTTCAGGAAGCATTCCCACAAAATGCTTGAAAGGATCAGTTATGGTTACACCAACATCTCCAACCAAGATCTCTTTGCCTTCTTCTACAATGATGCACTTTTTGTCTGCACTGAGACAAAAAATTACAGCCTTCTTTCTTTTCTTGATTTCGTCTGGTGTGGAGCACTTACGAACTTTCATGTCATAAAAAATACGACATACTTCATCAGCAACTTGCACTCCTGAGGCCATCTTCGCCGCGGCAGTCGCAGGGACTCGGGAGAGGGAGCCGGCGGGCAGCGAGTCTACGGAGCTTCCTCACGGATGCGGCACGGAGAGACCCACCGCGTAGCTGACGCGGCGGCGCGAACCTACTCCGGGGAGAGCTTTTTTTGTATTTTTAGTAGAGATGGGGGGGGGTTCACCATGTCGGCCAGGATGGTCTCGATTTCTTGACCTCGTGATCCGCCCGCCTCGGCCTCCCAAAGTGCTGGGATTACAGGCTTGAGCCACGGCGCCCGGCCTACAAAACTCTTTAGTGTGTTCCATTGCACCTCAGCCCCTAGAATGTAAGCTCAATGAGAAGTAGGGACTTTTGTCTGTTTTGTTCACTACAGTGTCACTAGTACTTATCACAGTATTTGACACAGAATATGACTGAATAAATGAATGAATGGAGCAGTGTGGGAATGGCTGAGATTTTAGAGACATCAGGAAGCTTCTAATCCCCAAATAATCTTTTCCCACTGACAGACCGAAACCTGTAATTCTAAGGTGGAAACTTAATCAATTTGCCTTAAGGCTCTTATTTTACTTAAAATGAAAATGCCATGTCCATTGATAAGAGAATAAATTGATATGACCTTATTGAAAAGCAATTGGGTAGTTGATGAAAACATAAAATGTTCATACTCTTTCACCCAGGACTAGCTCTTCCAGAAATGTAACCTGCAAAGATGCTAATTGCACTGTTATTTCTAATGAGGGAGCAGAGAGCAAATAACCTAACCTGAATATCCATCTGCAGAGGATTGGTTAAAGAGAAGAAATTTGGCCAGGCGTGGTGGCTCACTCCTGTAATCCCAGCACTTTGGGAGGCCGAAGCAGATGGATCATGAGGTCAGGAGATAGAGACCATCCTGGATAACATAGTGAAACCCTGCCTCTACTAAAAATACAAAAAAATTAGCCAGATGTAGTGGCACATGCCTGTAGTCCCAGCTGCTTGGGAGGCTGAAGCAGCAGAATTGCTCAAGGAGGCAGAGGTTGCAGTGAGCCAAGATTGTGCCACTGCACTCCAGCCTGGGAGACAGAGCGAGACTCCAAAACAACAACAATAACAACAAAAAGAAAGAAAGAGAGAGAGAGAGAGAGAGAGAGAGAGAGAGAGAGAGAGAGAGAAAGAAAAGAAATTTAATCACTGACTTTTGTCTTTGACCAATGTCAAAGATTCTCCAGGGCCTTAACTCCCTCCCTCCTTCATGGTGCTTCTGAGAGGCATGAGCCAGTTCCTCAATGGGGACAACAGAGAAGCCTGAGAGCCACAGAGGGCAAGAGTCATCATCAAGCACTGAGAGCCCACTCACATGGAGCTGGAATGAGAGACGAGTGAACCTGGGAGGATCTTAAGGGGAACATAAAAGCATTTTATGGTAGCTATAAAAACAAGAGTAAATTGATATGCAGCTTCATATTTCTTAATGTATAATATAATGTAAGGTATATTTAAAATAATAGGTTATTATGAATTGAGGAGTATACGAAAGTTAAAAGTGGGTGTATTAGCCATGTTCTTCAGAGAACAGAACTAATAGGAGAGAAAGAGAGAGGGAGATTTATTACGAGGAATTGGTTCATGCAGTTACAGAGGCTGGGAAATCGTATGAGCTGGCATAACCCAGGAAAGCTGGTGGGTGGTTCAATCTGAAGGGCTGAAAACCAGGGGAGCCGATGGTATAAATCTCATCTGAAGGCAGAAGATGAGACGAGATGTCCCAGTTCAGGCAGTAAGGCAGGAAAAAGAGGGCAAACTCCACTTTCCTCTGCTGTTTGTTCTATTCAGGCCCTCTTTGGATTGGATGGTGCCCACTCACACTGGGCAGGCCAATCTATTGTACAGAGTCCATCTACTTAAATGCTAATCTCCTTCAGAAACCCCTCACAGACATAGGCAGAAAAATATTTAATCTGGGCAGCCCATGATCTTCTCAGGTTGGCAAACAAGAGTAACTGTCACTCTGTGTGTGTGTGTGTGTGTGTGTGTGTGTGTGTGTATGGGAATTCTGGTGTTCACCTTTTAGAAAAAACTAAGAATTATATAAAAATAAATAAAAATTGCCATTATTTCCACTTATTTGTTAGACATCACAGTCAAACTTATTTTGTTAGAAATCAAGATCAAGCTACCTATTGAAATAATTAAGAAGAAAGTCATCCTGTTAGAAACTGGTTAGCAGCTAGCATACATTTTTTGTTCTTGTTTTTTTTTTTTTTTTTTTTTTTTGAGACGGAGTTTCGCTCTTGTTACCCAGGCTGGAGTGCAATGGCGCAATCTCGGCTCACCGCAACCTCTGCCTCCTGGGCTCAGGCAATTCTCCTGCCTCAGCCTCCTGAGTAGCTGGGATTACAGGCACGCGCCACCATGCCCAGCTAGTTTTTTTGTATTTTTAGTAGAGACGGGGTTTCACCATGTTGACCAGGATGGTCTCGATCTCTCGACCTCATGATCCACCCGCCTCGGCCTCCCAAAGTGCTGGGATTACAGGCTTGAGCCACCGCGCCCAGCCTGTTCTTGTTGTTAATAAGAAGTAGAACAGGCTGGTCACAATGGCTCATGCCTGTAATCCCAGCACTCTAGGAGGCTCAGGCAAGAGTATTGCTTGAGCCCAGGAGTTTGAGACCAGTCTGGGGAACATGATGAAACCCCATCTCTACAAAAAATACAAAACTTAGCTGAGTATGGTGGTGCACACCTGTAGCCCCAGCTACTTGGGAGGCTGAGGTGGGAGGATCACCTGAGCCCAGGAGGTCAAGGCTGCAGTGAGCTGTGATTGCACCACTGCACTCCAGCCTGGGTGACAGAGTGAGATGCTGTCTCAAAAAACTAAAAATGTAAAATATACCAACTATTCTATAAGATGAGGGTTGACTGCATTAAAAGAAAAGATTTCATAATATAATTTGAGAAATATCTTATTGAATATTGCACACCACCCACAATAAATCATGTAACTTTTTAATCTGCTGTTTTTTTTTTCAGTGCAAGCTGATGTGTCAGTGATTCTGGAAAATATTAGTTAGATTTTAAATGATGAGCATTACTAACCTGCACTGCTACAGCTGTTTGAAAGACGTTTCCTTCCCAGCTAAAAATATGTCTCAGGAAAAAGAGCCCTTATATTTTAGAAAATCATTCTGAAATATCTACAGATGAAATGATACAATGTCTGAGATTTGCTTCAAAATCATAAGGTAATGGTAGGAAGTGTACTTTACCTCTGTAATCGTCCTTCCCAAACCCATAATCACTGTCTAATCATGAGAAAAATATTAGATCCCAATTCAGGGACATTTTGCAAAATATCCGACTAGCACTCCTCAAAACTGTCAATGGCATTAAAGCCACAGAAAGTCTGAGAAACTGTTACAAGCCAGAAGAATCTAAGGAGACATGACAGGATGAGATCTGGGAAGAGAAAAAGAGCATTAGGGAAAAACTAGTGAAATCTGAATAAAGTGTGCAATATTAGTTAATACTAACATACCAAAGTTGGTTCCTGAGTTGTAATAAATGTATAGATATTAACAGTATAAGATATTATAAAAGAGTATAAGATATTAACAGTAAGGGAAAATAGACAAGGCGTATTTGAAAGTTCTATGCTATCTTTTGCAACTTTTGGTAAATCTAAAGCTATTCTAAAATAATATTTTAAAAGAATTGGGGCCGGGTGCGGTGGCTCAAGCCTGTAATCTCAGCACTTTGGGAGGCCGAGGTGGGTGGATCACAAGGTCAAGAGATCGAGACCATCCTGGTCAACATGGTGACCGTCTCTACTAAAAATACAAAAAATTAGCTGAGCATGGTGGCGCGTGCCTGTAATCCCAGCTACTCAGGAGGCTAAGGCAGGAGAATTGCCTGAACCCAGGAGGCGGAGTTTGCGGTGAGCCGAGATCGCGCCATTGCACTCCAGCCTGGGTAACAAGAGTGAAACTCCGCCTCAAAAAAAAAAAAAAGAATCATGGGTGGCTGGGTGCAGTGGCTCACATCTGTAATCTCAGTACTTTGGGAGGACTGCTTGAACCCAGGAGTTCACGACCAGCCTGGGTAACATGATGAAATCTTGTTTCTACAAAAAATATAAAAATTAGCTGGGCATGGTGGTGCACATCTTGGGAGGCTGAGGTGGGAGGATTATCTGAGCCCAGGCTGCAGGGAGCCATGATTGTGTCACTCCACCCCAGCCTGGGTGACACAGAAAGACCTTGTCTCAAAAAAAAAAAAAAAAAAAAAAAAAAAATCATGGAGGCCCTGGCATGGTGGCTCATACCTGTGATCCCAGAACTTTGGGAGGACAAGGCTAGAGGATTGCTTGAGCCCAGGAGTTTGAGACCAACCTGTGCAACATGGCAAAACCCCTTCTCTACAAAAAATACAAAAGTTAGCCAGGTGCAGTGGCATGCATCTGTAGTATCAGCTACTCAGGAGGCTGAGGCAGGAGAATCACTTGAACCCAGGAGGTCCAAGGCTGCAATGAGTTGTGATTGTGTCACTGAACTCCTGCCTGGGTAACACGGCAAGACCCTGTCTCAAAAAAAAAAAAAAAAAAAAAATTTCCAGAATATCAGGTATTCAGCATAAACCACATTGTTCGTACAGTTTAGGTACAATGAGCCATCCTTATCAGTTAGGGGATAGTGTTACATTAGTATAGAGAATTATTTACCAGTCAAGTTCCCAAGGTGAGCAGGCCTTTCTAAGGATAGCAGTTAGGCCTGGGCACCGGCACATGCAGACAATATACAACTTTTTGGGGTGTGACAAAGATGTTTCATACCACAACCCATACCCTCCTCCTGTTGTGGAAAGTATCCCCACAAATCTCACTTACAGACCTCATCTTCTGTTCTGATCCAGAATGCATGTCTGAAGGAGGAAGGGAACACCTAGGACATATGGAAGCTGAGAAGAGGATGCCTTGAGTTTCTCAATGAGCATAGCCGAAAATTAGCCCAGAGCTCTGCACTATCATTTTTGGTTTTATCCTTCTGTACATGGGCCTTTAGTTCTGAGAAATCTATCCTGAGGATAGAAGAGGAAGGGAACGGAGGAGAGGAAAAATGGGAAAGAAAGGAATGAGGCCTTTTGAGTGGATAGAGCAG